GTCCCTGGCCCGGCCGCGAAAGGGAAAAACACAGGCCCGGGTAGGGGGGGCCGGGCACCTCGCATCACACCGCGGGGGGGGCACCGGCATGCCGAAAATACTCGGTTGTCTTTGCTTGTCAGCGGGTGTGGGAAAAGCAAGGCTCGTTTAAATACGTTCTTAGCTCGTTAACTAAAGCCAGACCCTCTCCCGGTTTTCCTCTGTACGAAGCTTTCGTACGAGAGGTTGGAATCAGATGTGGAAGGAGGCGTGACTGGATGTTACAGCAGGCAAAGGGCGAGTGCTTTGAAAATAATAGGCTTATTTCATCACACAAGAGAGAAAATGAATACTGATTACTGACCTGTGGCTTCACCTGTTAACGCAAAATAGTTTCTAGCAAATATGTAGAAAGCATTCATATAGTGGTTGCTAAGCAGTATTTGTTAGATGCTTTTTGTATCCATTGATAAAAAGAATTGTGAATAAATTTTAAATGTTTTAACAACTTGTCTACTGAAACTATAATTCTTAAGCATTCCAATACATTAAGTGCACTTGGTGATATTAATGTCAGTAGTCAGTCCTGTGACTGTATTTGGTATGCTGCGCGTTCTTATGCAATTAACCTTGTGATAAAGGGGGAAGGAAAAAGTAAGAAAATGGGAAAAATACTGGGAAAAGGATAATCACTGGCATGTGGTTCAGTTTAAGCTCCATTTATTTGTAGTCATTTAGGTTCTGCTGTTGGCTTTATTACTACTCTTACAAACTTCTGGCATAAAAGGGTAAATGCTACACAAGAACCTTTTAAAAGATGATGTGTATCTCGGGACCATCATGTACGAATTCACAGTTCTCAATAGACGGCTGAACTAACTCAGAGGATGTAGATTTGGAAGAAGAAACCACAAAAGGGTGGCCTACGAGGCTGGAGTTAAAATGGGAGCAAAAGTTCTTTGAGTTCTGTCTGTGAAAGTTAGAAGCAATCTTTTATCCCATCTCTCCAATCTGCAGTGCTGGGTTTTAGCTCTAAGTTTTGGCACTTATTCCAGTGCAAGCTTCTTGATGACAAAGGTGATGGTGTTTTAGTTGCTGATCCATATATTCAACTCTAGCTATGAAGGAATCAAAGAAGATTTAAAAGCAATTGGGATAAAGGGATAGTGATTATAGAAGCATGGAGTTACTACTGATGGAACTACTGTAACTATGTATGTTCCCTAAGGATGCTTTTAAAAACCATGGCTGACCTACATTTTGTTTTCCTAAGAGACATTCTGGTAAATACTGCGTGGCTGAGCACACATTCATCAGCGAGTGGTTTAAAACACAGACATTCTTGCTGTTAAAGTGAATTTTCATCAAATGCTACAGAACTTGCATCTCTTACTATTCTGCTCAGTGTCTGCATTTTAAAACTTGCTGTTTTCTGCTGCCCAGTCCTGACCTGTCCAGAAAGTGAAGATTCAATGGGGTTTAGCAAAAATATTTTTTCCGGGTTGTCTGTATGTTTGAGAAAGTGGTTGCTCTTAGGGAGTGATTTGCTGTAATGTACTGTTGTAAAATACCATGGTTTTTTGATGTATAGAAATAACTGTTGTAAAAACACCTGCACTAAGAGCTTAGCTCCAATTAGACATGATGTGAGCAGTGAAGGTCAAACAAATAAAGGAGAGGAAGGAGTGACTGTCGGTTGCTCACTGGTTCTGTATGAAATGTTCTCATCTTGATTCTAGTTAACTTGTCATGACCTTTTCTTCACCCTTCTTGCATATGTGACATGTTAAGATAAGCTTTTTAGGAATTACGGTGATGAGGATGATAGAAGGGTTTAGGAGAATCATTTAGGGAGGCATTCTGAATGCTGGCTTAGCACAGGTGTTTGGGAGAGGGGAGAAAAACACGTGTTGCACTGGAATCATAAATGCAAAAGGAGATTGAGAGGTGTATGGAAGAGTGCATTATACAGGCCCATATGAGCCTGAGATGATTTTGGAGTCCATACAAGAGGGGGATACAGAGCTGATCCTCCTGACTTACCTGGCTGGCATCTAGACCCTTAATTCCTCATATGTGTTCAGTTTTTAAATATGTTCTTTATCTTGTAGTAGATGTGGTGTCACAGTCTAAGCATTCACTCCTGGTCTGTTTGGAAGTTAAAACCCTTAAGTAGAAAGGGGAGTTGACAAGTTTGGTCTTATTATGTGCCTGGCAAGTTGGCCATCTGATTTTAAGGAATAAAGAAGGAATGTTGTTTAAAGGAATGTTATCAACATAATAACTCATAAATGTTGACCAGTGATGGTCACAAGACCCAGTGTAACTTGCTGTCAAATTTTTTTGTGTAATGACCTGACTTGCAGTTGCAACCTGTGCTTACCCAAGTAACGGAGGAGGAAGTAGAGCAGTAGTTTGCAAATACAGGATGTTGCTTATATATGAGTAACTTTGTTCTGCTCCCCAGGTACTAACAAAAATACTGCTTCTAGGAATCTCAAATCTGAAAACAGATGAGCTGGGTGAGCTGCTTGAACACAACCTTGTAACTGCTGGCTGTAGCTGTGGTGGCAACAGATCTCAGATTTGTAGAGCCCCTTAAGTGGCTTAGGTGAAGTATGGTTCTGTGAAACAGCAAAGCCAATCTTAACGGCTCATTAGTGTTCCCCCAGCTTTCCTCCTGCCTGCTTAGTGGCCGCTTTGTGGAGTCATTCGTCTTGCTAAAGCATAAGAAAATTAACCTGTTGAGGAAGAAGTGATTAGTTTTGTAGTTGAATTACCTTAATGGAGGGGCTGGCACAAGGAATGTGGAGAGCAGCACTACTGTTTGGATTAGGTTATTTTTTTTTCAAGGTGGTCTGTGCATCACCAAATGGTGCCTTAGTAGCAGGAGCTATTATGCCTGAAGATCGTGATTGTATGTACCAGGGGAGGCAAGACCAGGGACCAAACTGACATGGGCAGTAATTGACAGAAGAATACTGCAATGCAATTGCTCAGGTTTCTCTGAGATTTAAACAGCAAAGCATCTAAGGGTATTCATATAACAGTGGCACTAGGGAAGAAATGTCAAGTAAAAGTCAAAACCTTACTTCCCGAGTCCTGCCTGAAGGTTTGATATCAAAGACACAATGCTCATTAAAATGTAAAATGTTTTGGGGGCAAAGAGGACTACTTAAGAAACTGAATTGCTTTCATGCCTTTTTTAAGAGTTTCCTATTCAGCCAGGACGATATATTCGTACAGGAAAATATCCTTTAAGAACCAGGACAACCTACTGAATACCTCTGCTGCTGACAATATCTACTATATACACATATCCTTTAAGAACCAGGACAACCTACTGAATACCTCTGCTCTGCTGACAATATCTACTATATACATAGATGCTGTGCGAGTACTTCTGGATATCTGTGTCATGTTTACATGCAATTATAATATTTTTGCACTTCTCATCACTTTGGTTATATATTCAACTTGCTTGTCTTCTAATGCTCATAATAAGAAGTTCCTTTATTTTGTGGCTTTTCTCCTTCATTTTTCTCATATAGTCCATCGATAATCACTGCTATCTCATGTCTTATCAATTTTGGGAGCTGATAACCTGTCCTTATAAGATCAGCGGCGGATTCACTGAACTCTTTACCTTTTAGAGCTGACTCAACACAATTACTATATCAATGTTCTGATACCTTCTGCAAACAATTTGTTAGGTACTTGGCTAAAGTTTTCTAGAAAGACACCTAAATGAAGTTTGTTAATAATTGATTTACATGCAAAAGAGGTTT